CAGCACTAGACAGCTGGATATGCATATGTAAACAGCACCTAGACAGCTGGATATGCATATGTAAACAGCACCTAGACAGCTGGATATGCATATGTAAACAGCACCTAGACAGCTGGATATGCACATACAAACATCACCTAGACAGTTGGATATGCATATGCAAGCAGCACCTAGACAGCTGGATATGCATATGTAAGCAGCACCTAGACAGCTGGATAAGCATATGAAAACAGCACCTAGACAGCTAGATATGCATATGTAAGCAGCACCTAGACAGCTGGATATACATATGTAAGCAGCACCTAGACAGCTGGATATGCATATGTAAGCAGCACCTAGACAGCTGGATATGCATATGTAAACAGCACCTAGACAGCTGGATATGCATATGTAAGCAGCACCTAGACAGCTGGATATGCATATGTAAGCAGCACCTAGACAGCTGGATAAGCATATGTAAACAGCACCTAGACAGCTAGATATGCATATGTAAACAGCACCTAGACAGCTGGATATGCATATGTAAGCATAACCTAGACAGCTGGATATGTATATGTAAACAGCACCTAGACAGCTGGATATGCATATGTAAACAGCACCTAGACAGCTGGATATGCATATGTAAGCAGCACCTAGACAGCTGGATATGCATATGTAAACAGCACCTAGACAGCTGGATGTGCATATGTAAGCAGCACCTAGACAGCTGGATATACATATGTAAGCATCACCTAGACAGCTGGATATGTATATGTAAACAGCACCTAGACAGCTGGATATGCATATGTAAGCAGCACCTAGACAGCTGGATATGCATATGTAAGCAGCACCTAGACAGCTGGATATGCATATGTAAGCAGCACCTAGACAGCTGGATATGCATATGTAAACAGCACCTAGACAGCTGGATAAGTATATGTAAGCAGCACCTAGACAGCTGGATATGCATATGTAAGCAGAACCTAGACAGCCGGATTAGCATATGTAAACAGCACCTAGACAACTCAATATGCATATGTAAACAGCACCTAGACAGCTGGATTAGCATATGTAAAATGCACCTAGACAGCTCAATATGCATATGTAAACAGCACCTAGACAGCTGGATATGCATATGTAAACAACACCTAGACAGCTGGATATACATATGTAAGCAGCACCTAGACAGCTGGATATGCATATGTAAACAGCACCTAGACAGCTGGATTAGCATATGTAAAATGCACCTAGACAGCTCAATATGCATATGTAAACAGCACCTAGACAGCTGGATATGCATATGTAAGCAGCACCTAGACAGCTGGATATGCATATGTGAGCAGCACCTAGACAGCTTGATATGCATATATAAGCAGCACCAAGACAGTTGGATATACATATGTAAACAGCACCTAGACAGCTGGATATGCATATGTAAACAGCACCTAGACAACTCGATATGTATATGTAATCAGCACTTAGACAGCTGGATATGCATATGTAAACAGCACCTAGACAGCTAGATATGCATATGTAAGCAGCACCTAGACAACTCGATATGCATATGTAAGCAGCACCTAGACAACTCGATATGCATATGTAAGCAGCACCTAGACAACTCGATATGCATATGTAAGCAGCACTTAGACAACTCGATATGCATATGTAAACAGAACCTAGACAGCTGGATATGCATATGTAAACAGCACCTAGACAACTCGATATGCATATGTAAGCAGCACCTAGACAACTCGATATGCATATGTAAGCAGCACCTAGACAACTCGATATGCATATGTAAGCAGCACTTAGACAACTCGATATGCATATGTAAGCAGCACCTAGACAGCTGGATATGCATATGTAAACAGCACCTAGACAGCTGGATATGCATATGTAAGCAGCACCTAGACAGCTGGATATGCATATGTAAGCAGCAACTAGACAACTCGATATGCATATGTAAGCAGCACCTAGACAGCTGGATATGCATATGTAAACAGCACCTAGACAACTCGATATGCATATGTAAGCAGCACCTAGACAACTCGATATGCATATGTAAGCAGCACCTAGACAGTTGGTTATGCATATGTAAACATCACTGCTATGATACAGATCAAATACAAACGATCAGATTTTTATCAGATTTCTCAAATTCATGCTATATCTGTAGTTATACTATGTAAATGACATGTCATGTATACAGTAAATGTAATGATGTATGCTCAGATGTTTTGATGATAGATTTCCTTAATAATCTAAAGGCTATATTTTCAAGGTAGAAGCCTGCCCTCTATTGATCATGTTAACCAGCAGCAAACTGAGAAACCCAAATCATCTACAAGTAAATCAAGGTAAGAATTTTTAGTTTGGTTTCTGTATAAATCATGTATATAAAGGTGGTCATGTGTTTTATATGTGATTTGCATATGATTTACATCTAATTTGCATGTGATTTGCATGTAGTTTTCATGTTATTTACATCTAATGTGCATGTGATTGGCATGTGATTTGCATGTAGTTTTCATGTGATTTACATCTAATGTGCATGTGATTGGCATGTGATTTGCATGTAGTTTTCATGTTATTCGCATGTGATTTACATGTTATTTGCATGTAATTTGCATGTTTTTTTTATTTAAGTTAGGCATCTTTTTCACATATTTCGACTATGAGTGTTTGTGTCCAAGTACATCCGATTTTTTGCTTGATATTGAAAGGCCAATTTATCTTATTGTGTTGGAGCGCAGCTATTGAATAACTGTTTGTTGTGGCGTAATGGTCTGTAGAAATGTCAAAGGTCAAGCTTGGCTGGACTGCAAAATACCTTGGATGTACAATTGTAAACACATTTGAGTGAAAGTGAAAGCTTTTGGCAGTGGTTTTGCCCAAAATGGCCCTTTCAATAATGAAAGATGATTACATGTTTTATACTTTCTCTATCTTCATAATTGATCTATTGACACTGTGCTCTTCAAAACATTTTATTGTATTCTCAGATACAAATAATCTTTCACTATACAAGGACAATGTTCAGTATTTTTGTGCAAGTTAAAATAATGTTGTATTTTAATGATATGCGCTTTATCAAAAAATAAATAATGTTGTTTTGTCAGCAGTATTTAAATACTGTAAAATACTTTATTTTCACTTGGAATTAATTTTCGCTGAAGTAATGATTCAGTGAAAATAAAATCCAGTGAATGTACCTTTTTTCATATATTTTACATTCAACTTGTCAAAAATCAGTGAAAAAATAAATTCTGTACAAAACACCCCAAAAAGTCTTTTCAGCGAAAATTAATTCCAGCTAAAATAAGTTATTCTACAGTAACCAAATACAGCCATGTTTTTCCTTTCATATTTATCAAGATGCATCGTCAAACAAAATTGTTGTAATGCTTAAAAAATACTGAAAATTATCCACATTGCCTCTTTAATTAACCTCCATCTGTTAATTACATTAATGAAGGCCAAATTACATGTATATACATGTACTTTGATTGCTGTGCATATGGTTTGACTGGAAATCATACTGTTCTGTTGACCTAGTATAATATTGAAATATAAATCATATACAGATACAATTATAACAATATACAAATTTATTTACTGCCATATATCATTTTTTTTTCACAGTTCTAAAAGCCGGGGAAGAAAACCTTTATTTTCTGGTGGAAGGTAGGTGGTGCTAATAGATATTTTGTGTGAATCACATGCTTGAGCGACAAGGTGACTGTAATGATGTACGTGCATGTACAACAGTGAAAGCAATATTGTTGAAATAGACAACCCTGTTTGATTTTGTAGTTGTTTAGAATGCAGGCAATCTCTCAAAAATATTGCATTTATGGTTTATTTCCGTACGTTACTCAGTATCAGATGATAGAGAATTAGGGCCTTGCATCTATGTATCATTATAGCGTTCAGTAATGACGGATCACGCAGGTAGTATTGCGGGGTTTCATGACTTAAAAGCATATTTATATTTGGTGAAAGATGGTCGCTGGGTTGCGTACAAGTCTCCAGGGAGCTCCAACTATTGAAATTATGATGACAACATTGTCGGGGTACTCTGCGAAATGTCAAAAATGTTCCCATGTCCAACAAAATGTGCTGCACCAATCTTTAGCACTTGTAAGATGATGTTTATACTATTGTTAACCATTTTCCAAACAAAATAGATCGGTTAACAGCATCTGGTTGTTCTTTTATCATTTTGTTGTTTTCGCTATAGGAATAGTCGCCTCCCTTCCCATAAAATGGCGTGGACTAATGAAGAGAAGACTTTATTTGAGCAGGGAATGGTAAGTGCTGTATAATACTACAAAAATAAAAGTGAACATTTTATGCCTGTGACGAGCCAAGCATGTTATGTCTGTGAGGGCAGTCTTCATGGAGCATCCAAGCATGTTATGTCTGTGAGGGCAGTCTTCCTGGAGCAGCCTTGGCTGGTTCACAGCTCAAGTGTCATGGCGCACCAAGTCACAACAGGCCAGTAACTAGTAACGAATCCGGCATTCTGATTGGTCCATCCCTTTCTTGTTGCTTGTTAGTCCCCGTTCGGACGCAGTGTGTGCAGGCGAGCGTGCGTGTGTGCGTGCGTGCGCGCATCTGTGCGTGCATCCAGACCTGTATCTTAGAAATGCCTGGACCAATCACAATCACATATGCACATCAATTTGTTTCACGATCTGATTCAAGATGGCCGAATTGTGGCCATTTTTGTGTTAAAAAATCATAAAAATCAAGCATTTCTCGGCTGTTTACAGATGCATTTTGTTCAAACTTGGTGTATACATTAGACATTATGGAACCTTGATGCAAATAATTTTTTAGATTAGATTCAAAATGGCCGACTGGCAGCCATTTTGTTTTAATGAATGTGGTTCTCGTGCCATATGTCTGACTTGCTTTCACTGATTATGTTCAAATTTTAAATATTCATTATACATCATAGATAGACAGATATATTGGTTTGACGATCCTATTCAAAATGGCCGAATGGTGGCCATTTTTGTGCTAAAAAAATCATCAAATATCAAGCATTTCTGGTATTTATGGATAGATTTCGTTCAAACTTGGTACATACATTAGAATTAAAGGTTCCTGATGCACGTCATTTTATTTGTCAGATCAGATTTAAAATGGCTGATTTTGAATGCTGTTCCAGAGCAATATCTCTCAATATGGACAAGTACTTGTTTGACGATCAGATACAAATGTCAATCATTTTAATGTTGAACAATCATATTCCAACTATATTACTATAAACAAAACTATATATCTTAAATTTGATAACTAACAGGGACTGTGCCATGCATGGCTTATTCTATTTTCCTTTGTTACCTGACGTAAGCACTTAAGCTCATGGTCCGAGAGCAGTTTTTCTTTTACTTTCGAAAGTTGGGCGAACATAAAACTGAACTATATATAATATAGTCATAACACATTTGTAATGCTTTACTGATGTATCTGTGTTCTATAAATACATGTAGATACTGTATTTGCCTCATTGAAAATGCTGAAAATCGGTATTGGAAGCACATTAATTAATCTCTGTTGACTGAATCGACATGGTGTTAACATGTGTACACATATAATAGAACATTTACAGATTATGTACTCCATTATATCAAGGATTTATAATGGGGGTATACAGCATGAATATCAATGTATGGTAATATGCCATGAAATCACATGATCTTGCGTGTTCTATGAGCATTTCAACATACGTTAATCAATGGCATCACCAAACACAGTGCATGCTTCAAAATATTTGAATGCCTAAACAGAAATGAGGGATATTATTGTTGTATTTGTAGACAAAAATGCATGTAATACACGCTTTGTGAATCTGCAAGGACTCAATCAAAACAGCCGGAGATGAACACTAACCAGTTCTTTCACTCATATGCATTAGTAGCAAATGTGCATTTGTCATGAAATTTTATGATCATCACGCAATTCGTGTGACTTTTTCAATTCACGTGAGATCTACATTGCATATCATACCACTTACATACCCTTATCTCATCAACCCTTGATTATAGACAATATTGACACTACTAACATTAATATACATGGTGTAACTCTATTGCAGGATATCTATGGCAGAAGTTGGACTAGAATAGCGCAGTTAATACACACCAGAACAACCCTACAAGTCAAGAATTATGCTAATCAATATTTCAAAGTCAAGGTGAATTTACATGACGTTGTTAATCATGTCATTTACTGTAAACCCCTTTGTTTTCACAAGAGTTGAATTTTTGAAAGTCAGTGAAACAACAAAATTGTAGATAGTCACAGTGACTTTAACTGAGGTACTAGGGAATCACAGTGATTTTCTCTGAGGTCCTAGGGTGTCATATTGACTATCTCTGAGGTCCTAGGGAGTCACAGTGACTTTCTCTGAGGTTCTAGGAAATCACAGTGACTTTCTCTAAGGTGCTAGGGAGTCACATGTGTGATTTTCTCTGAGGTCTTAGAGAGTCACAGTGACTTATATTTTATCTCCATGAAGGCCATCAAATTATTGTATGTTGAAAATTGAAAACAAGGAAATCTAGTAATAAAAACAAAATCATTTTTTTTGTAATTTCACATACCCACACTCTGTAGAAATGAAAAAATGTTTTTGTTTTTTTCAAAGGATATGAATTATAATACATTTAATTCTTTAATGCTTATATTTGAAAGAGTTATTGAATATTTGTTAAATCTTAATGTATCGAGTTTTTGTTGTTGTGTTGTCCATTGAATGGGAACAATTAAAAATTTAATTGTTTCTGTATTTCTGTTCATTTTGCAGGCAAGAGAGAAAAAAAAAACTGAAACTGACTCTTCAGGGTCAAACGATTTTACCCTGAATGCTGCCGAGATTGAGAGTGAAGAAGCTGCTCTGGAAGCAGTAACCACAGCAACCACAACTGTTCCAACAATATCTAGAAACGCCACTGCAAATTCCTCTATTAGCACAATAACCAGCACGAAACGAGCAGCTAGAGCTAAAACTGAAACAGAAAAACTGCAAAATGTTTTTGAAAATGAGTCGTTGATTTTAGCTAAAACCAAAAATGAGACGTTTTGTAGTGACGTAGATGATAGAGAATGTAAACAGGATTCTACATCTCAGGAAAATCTAAGCGATGTTGATGAAGAAGATGAAGATGTAGATATTGATGGAGATAGTGATGATAATGTGAAAGAAAATCTATTAACAGGTAGAGCAGATAATATTTTTTCAAATTTGAACTCGCTCTGACTTACTATAAGCAATTTCATTTTCACGAGAGACAAAGTTTTACACATTGAGTCAGAGAAACTCGTGACAACTTTTAAGTTTGATGGAGAGTCATTGTGACTTATTACGAAATGTTGTCAACAGATTTCATGCAACCTCTCATTATTTTCACATTCGCACTCGCGTAGCTCATTTATCGAAAATAATCGAAATTCAGCCTTCCACACGCACACGCGTAGCTCATTTATCAAAATTCCCCCTTCCACAATTGAACGCTAGAATACAGTCTCAATTCGACATTGTACAGCAGGTCTTCACAATGTTTTCTGTTCTTTATCAATTTTCCACAGTGTTCTTGATTGACCAAATGATATCAAATGACAAACAGCTTTTTTTCACAGTGTATTGAAGAATTACATTTTGTTAAGTTTTGAAAGAACATTTTGTGGCTGGATATTCATTAGTGCTGGCAACAGCTACACGATGCTTGTTGGAATTTTGAAATGTGCTGCTGCCACGCTATTGGTCAGAATTTTGTTCGAATGATGTGCATGGACCACTGTAGGAAGATGAATAGGGTCTAGCATTTATGCTTTTCTATCTTCTTTGCATTCTGGTAGTTGCAATGTTGATCTAAACTTACTCAAAACATTATTATTTCTACAAAGATCTGCAAGATCATTTATAGAATATGAAAATCAGGGGTGACAACAACAAAAAACAACAATAAAATAGAATTGTTTTTTTTCAGGACGTAACCTATCACCAGAAACAATATATTCTACGTTATTGAAGTCTGCGGAAATACTGAGTGAAAGTGAGAACAGTGATTTGTCATCTCTCGGCGAGAAAGATGAAGAAAGTTACGATTGTCAGAACCAAGATGTTAATGTCTGTTCAACAAACATTGCACCAGCGGAATACAACGCACATGATGGCGTAGAATCATCAACGTATTCCCCGGGTAATAACAACCGACTCTGCACGACTGCCAACAGTCTGGGTGAGAGTAGCAAGTGTAATAAAGATTTCTCACCGGATGATGAGAACGATGAATCTCGTAACACGCGTCTTGAGCGGCCTACAACGAGCGGGGATGACTATGAAGAGACGTGCAGTACCGATGACGATAGTTCCGATTATTACAGAGTGGATGAATCGTTGGTGCAGTTTGTTAAAGATGAATATTATGATGATGATGATGATGACGAAAACAAACCAGGTTCGTTGATTTCGTCATCCATTGTCTGATGTCACTGTCAGTTAGTGTCAATATCTCAGGATTAGGTGATTAACACATATCTGCTGAAAACCTACATAAACATACCACAATTAATATCAACATGCAATGTGTTAAAGCGAGGGAGTCGTCACCTGCGCATCCATCAGATAGCGTGTTATTGTTTACAAACAAGCGTCTACCCATGAGTCGTTGCATTTTTTTTAGCGTGTGTTGTTATCGTCGATTGGGACTCAATTCTCGTGCGTGCACAGGTGATGACCCTCCTGCTTTAAAATGGAATTGTAAGATGATGACAATTACAAAAAATCTGCAGCCAGGCTGAAATATAATCCCTACTGTTTATGTTCTCATGTTTTGTTTTTTCATTGAATCAGCTGAATGACCATAACCCCTAAAAGTCGCACGTCGTAGTACTATATTGGGCTACAAATTTGATCACCAGCAATGCGTGAATTTCTCAATTATTGATCCCATAAGCCACTGTCAATGAATTTAAAAACAGTTTGACATAAATAAAATTAAGGTATGATATTGGAAATCATTGGTTATTGAACGCAAATACAAATGTACCCCCTAGTAAGTACCAGGATGTGTGACTTTTAGGGGTCATGCATGGGGTCTGTTGTAAACACCACAAGTATGATTGCTTTATATTATACTGTGAAATACTTTATTTTAGCTGGAATTAATTTTTGCTAAAATCATATTTTGGGTGTTTTGTATGGAATTTATTTTCACTAATTGTTGACAATTTCAATGTAAACTATAGGAAAAAAGGTATATTCGCTGGATTTTATTTTCCCTGAAACATTCTTTCAGCGAAAATAGCAAAAATTAATTCCAAGCGAAAATAAAGTGTTTTACAGTAGTTAATTTTTGAAAATAACATTTGTATAAACATCATGAGTATCTTTGTGTATGAAATTTTGTCATGTTAATTGTTGAAACAGGAAGTACTGATGTTTGTTTCCATGGAAACAGAAAGTACTGATGCTTCTTTCAATAGAAGCAATAGTTTTTTGACAACATAAGAAGCTATTAATATTGTTTCCAGGTTACAGTCAGCGAGTCAGAATTACCTTGCAAAACTGCTGCATCCATACTGCTGTCATGAAATAATCATATAGCGCCCTCTATAGTTTGCATTTATTATTGTCTATTTCTTGGGAACTATTTTGTACATGTTTGTCAGTTGCTTTGATAGTGATGATGGTGTACACTTAAATATTTGTGTTCCCTCTGCAGATCCCTGGTCTGGTATACCTAAAGCTACTGTTGAAATTATCGTAGACCACAGCACAACAACTCGGGATGAACACATCGCGCATTCTGAGTTCTTCGATGGTAGACCTTTAAAGACTCCGTCACGATATATGAAAATCAGAAATTATATCTTAGATGCCTGGTAATTATAATGAAGTTATCACAAGAATACCAGAAAGTCCGCAAAAAGGCAGTACAGGATTGCATCGACCCCTGCTGCGTTGTCTGCTTTTGTGGACACTTTGCGGTATTCTTGTGATACGTGTAATTTTATTACTGTACATATTTTTCCTGCTTGTAGTAATGAGCCAAAACAGCCATAAATTGCAATGAAACACATTTAGCGCTTTTGTAAATGCTATTGTTTACTGACAGTATTCTATTTCCGTCCTGCTCTATAATTATAGTGCTTCTGCTTCCAATGAAAGAATTTGAGTATGACATAATTATTCCTGACTGCGTCCATGTCTGCGACGTAGTTTACTCCAAATAAGTGAAATTTCAAATGTTAGAGTGAGTGCAGATTCCTGTAGAAACAAATGCACATACATTTTCTAACAGGTAAAAATAAATCCTCTGGATTTTAGTGCTAAAGTTTTAGTGCTGTAACCTACTGTGTTAAAATATCTAGAAAGCTTACCAAGAAACAAAATGTCATCACAGTGCGTTTTCTCTAGTTTTGTCATTCATTTTGTTGCACACTTTTTCACATCCATCAAATCAATTCATATGCGCCCCCTGACCTCAGGGATGCCTTGTCAAAGTACACAATGTGGTTTTGTTGAGATTACCCATGAACAATAGGAAATTAGGTCAATTTGTTATTATAAGTATAATTTAGATACAATTTCAGTTTGTTTGATGCAAGCAAAATTCTCAGCTCCATCAACTGGATCTGTTAGTTCTATTATTATTAATATGCTTGTTTTTGCTGTTATTTGCAGGGAGAAATGCAAACCTAAATACTTAACAAAGACATCAGTTAGGCCAGGACTTAAGAATTGCGGTGATGTTAACTGTATTAGTAGAATTCATGAATATTTAGAACACGTTGGTGCAATTAATTTTGGTGTAGGTGAGTGGAAAAATCAACATTATCAACATAATGTTGTTCTATCGTATGTTTCTCTGTATGTTATGAACAGCATATGCAGATATTGACATTGTGTTAATATTACATGTGACTAATTATTCATGAGGACGTTCGATTCAGACGAATAAGTAAAAAATGTTTATTGTTCACACGTGCTAAAACCGTTTCTGTAAGTATGCGGCTTATCGTCAGTAATCTGACGTGTGGTTTAATGATTAGTATCCCCCCCCCCCAGCTGCACACTCACCAGTGAAATTACATTCCACCATCATATCAGGCTAGTGGCATTCAGTGTTGGGAATGTGCTGCCAAGTCAGTGTGGATGTAAAACTCCCAGTTACGAGTACAGTCGCATGTGTTATGTCCTGTATTCTCAATGTACCTAAATACAACGACATCCTTGTCACAATGAGTAGCAGATGTCTGGAACTTACCTTAATTTCAGATCTGTATTTTGATTTGCCTGTTAATCTGCGTAATAAATAAATTAATAAGGAAATAAAAAGTAATTAATAATAAGTAATTATTAAGTATTTCTGCTTCATTTTCATTAAAGATAACCCTTATCGTTCAACCCGAGCTGCTGCTACAACTGCCAATAAGAAAACCATGACGAAAGAAGAATTATTATTATATCAGAAAATACGAATGCAAAGTATGGTGAGTAAATAAATTAGCAGTTAATTTATGAATTTTGAATTCCAAACTGATCAAGCAAGAGTATATGATGAGTGAATGAATAATGACTTAATATACATAGTTTATGTATTTATATGTAATTGTTGAAATAAAGTAAAGAATACTCAATCTTTATCTGACTTTCAACTGTTACATTCTTGGATTAAAATGCCTTGTGTCTTTTTTTCATTTGAAGAGACCACGAAAACGAAAGGTTCGTGATGCGTATGGTAATTGGATTGATCCTGATGAGTTCAAAGGTCAAAGGGTTGAGCATCAGTTTGAAATGAGGCACAATGAGGAAAGCAAATCAGCAAGGTAATTTTATCATTCAATGTATGTCTCCCTCTTGTGGTAATATTTTCAGATCTTTTTATTCTATACAGAGGGCGCACTTTGCCAGAGAAAATTTTTCATGCAATGGTTCTGATTCTCTCAGCCACTTCACCCAACCTTCTCACTATTTTTGCAATATCGGTAATATTATTTTATTATGAGCTGCTATCTATTAAATTCTTGGCCAAAATTGACTTCAATAGTATAAAATAAGAAATCAGAGAGGCAATAGTATGTCAGGTAAAAAAAAAAAAAATGCGTCACATATTTTCTTAGTCAAATTGCCAAAAAAAATTGTTTTTCATTGACAAAAACAAAAAAAACCTGGCAGAGAGAAACCAGAATACCATAAATGCTTTAATTATTCACTGGGTTTTAATTTCACTATTTTTACTGATAAGTAAAATCCGCTAAATTAAATCTAATGTGAACATGTAAAATAACAATAAACTCATTGTTTCCTTGACAAATTCATGAAATTAAAACACAGTGAATATGCTCAGAACCTTAAAGTAGAGAAATTAAATGTCAGTGAAAATAAATGGTTTTACAGTATATTTTTACCTCGGCCTTGAATGTGTTACGAAACACCAGGAATCACATAATACTCCTTTTGATCTCAAAATTGTACAGCAACAACTGAATCGATCAACCCTGAATCCCCACCCCAAATAACCTGTACCTTACCAGTTTGCCCCTCTAGAGGGCAGACTACTGCTGCAATGGTGTTCGAAAGTATATTTCTTGATATCTTAGGTCAAGACCCAAGTATTCAAAACTAAGTACATATGATCCGTTCAAGCTCGTTCCGTGCGATAGTTTCACTGAGGACAATAAGGTAGGCTAATTAATTTATTCAACGTCAGTTGCCAATGACGACATAAATAATCACACAATGCATTTTAGAATTTTGTGTTTTTTTCTGTTTTTATTGACCAGATCTTTGCTTCTTAAATTTTAAAACAAGGATGGCTTCAAAATATTGGTTTAAATCGTCATAATAAGTTTTGTCAAAATTTTTCCCAAGTTTTAGGAGAGTTATAGCCTTTGAATTGGGACAAGTTATATTCATGATGTTAGAATGAGGCAAATATAAAATCATAAATTAATTGATAATCTGACTTTTTCATCGTTTTCTGAGAGTATGTCTATGATACCAATCCTATATTATTTATTAATTTTAAAAGTAGCCAGTGTGGTTTTAAATCGCCAGTCAATCATTTTTTCTTCCACACTTCCACCTCATAAACACATAATTTCAAGGTGTTTGGCATCAGGTAACTTGCCTCATCTAAATTTATCTCTGAGTGTCAGTTTTTGGGTTAAATTAAAGTAAAACTTCAGAGACTGCATGTTCTGAAGTTCTAAAAAAACATGGCAGACGTACACCTCTGGCTGAATCCCTGCGAAGACACATGAGACATTGCCAAATAACAGTCGCAATATCTTGCTAAAAGTGAGAGTATCGCGTGAATCAAATAAACATTTTCCTAAGCTTAATCCAACATGCAGCCAAGGCAGACATGTTAACAATAGAATGGCCCTTGTTGCCAATCTGTGTTTTTTTATTGTTATCCAAAATTACCATATTGCCATTATGATAGGAAGATAGTTACGCAGCCCTTTAAAATAATCCCAAACATGGAATATTGTTTCTGTGTCAAATGTGCTGTATGTCATCTTATAAACAAATAGGGAAGATAACAGTTTTTGATATTTAATATCTGAAAATATTACCTGGTACATTATTCTTTTCAAAAAAAATTAAATTATCACAGTATTCATATACATTTTAATCGCAATTGATATTTTCACATCTTACACTATCGCAATTTCAAAAATGTGGCATTTCAATTCAGCCAAAGTAGAAATGTGTATTCCCCATGGCCAGAAATTTTGGCAAGGTTTGGATAACATCCACAGGTCTTATTGATCCAGTCTGCGCTTGAAACTAAGAAGATGGCCACACAGTTGTATGAACTGTATTTATATATGACAAATATACACAGAGTTGGACCACTAGCTGCATGAATTAAATGACTTCCTATATGAACATAAAATCTTATTAACCCTACATATGTGACCAATCAGAGCTGCTCTTTTGTGTCACATGATTTATCATTGAATAATAAGTTTATGCTGAAATGGGTTTTCACAAAGCTGCGCTAACAATGAACAAAGCGTTCATTCACCAACGGCAGCCATTTGTTGCTATGTGAAATCTATTACAAGTCTGGCATGTATTTCGTGATCCCACGTACAATACCCTTATGATTAACTAATTTTGTGTTTGATATCTAAGTACAAGGTCCAAGGACAAAAGGATGACAGTGCAATGTGCTCTATACAATAGACGAGATGACTGAAGTCCATCTTGTTGATTGGAGGGCGGAGCACAGTGAGATAAAACTGTAATTAGCTGACATTTTGAAAAAACAAACTTTGTATCTGTAACTTTGATTGTGTATTTTATCTGAAATCCACAGAGCATGGTGGAAATGCACTGACTGTATAATGATAACAACCTGTTGCTATCATTAATATTCCGTGACATACGTGCCTAGTGTCAAACGTGTATTACTATATATGGGCATTGGGTATTACTTGCCTTGTGATCTAAGCAGCATTAAAGAATCTTGTATTCAATTAATATGACCTTGTCTGAAATAAGTTGATGTTTTACTGAACTAATGTACATGTATTTTATTTCCAATGTGAGTTTGTCATGTGTGCATTGTGCTCAGAATCTAACGGCCACAGCGATCCTGTCACAAGTCTTTGTTTTTGGCCTTGTTTTTGGTTCTGTTGTCATCGTTTTTGCTGTTGTACATATCATGACTATATAGATCAGGGAAGCTGTGGACATGATGACGAGAGAAAATAGAACACTTATTTGAAAGACGAAAACTCACTCGATTGCAACATAATCTCGGCATCCATTGCTCCTCAGGTCTATTTTGTTGATCGATGAAATTCACCTTGGCTTACCACTCTAGCATACATGAATTTGTATCATTTGAAAACAAGATTGTAATGTCAACAATTATCACCGAACACAAAACAGTCTTTTACCACAGAGGAAATGTAAATGAATGACAACTAGTAAACATGATTTTTCTTTTTTTCCTGCATCAATTTGTTGTGATTGCCAGTCATGCATTGTGTTTTTGTACCCAATTAATACAAATAGACATACGTCCAAGTGATATGCTGGCGTCAATTACGCTGTAACAAACTTGAAATCTTCTGCAGATGACATTAAATCCTGTTCAAGTTTCTCTCATATCCTAAACCTGTAGCGCTGTAAACCACTATAATTTCATGACAGACAAATTTCCATGATTTCTACAAAATTGCAAAATTCATGGTGAAATTTTATCTTTGTGAATGTCATTGAATCATCAAATTGCATAAAATCCTTGCAGAGAAATTTAAATAGGTTTACATTTACCTTCAGGCTGGTTGAATAATCTGTACGATCTGGGTCTCCTGTGCTATGCATGTATGTATATTTGACTCATTATTGCGTCGCATCCGGTGACAATGATCATGTTGCCTAAGCATGCTATATCAGACAATTTTACAACTTTCTAACTTGTACCACTCCAATCTCATACCCCATATGAGTGGTAAATCTTTTTGTATGCTATAGCTGTGAACATGTCATTGGGTTTCTTACGACAGTGAGTCAATTGCTTTCACAGAGTTTCCCTAATTCGCTCAAATTATCAAACAAAAAAATTAATAAAGCCGAGAATTAAACAGTTTATCTGTTTGTAGAACACTTAATCCCAGTCAACTCAACAAAATTGTGAATCTATTTTTCTTGGTACAATCAAATCGTCCGAAGTAAATTTATGATTTTGTTGCAGAAGCTGTAGATATATGTAATTTGCAATATGTTGCAATAATTATACTGAAAAGGGCTCTCCCTCCCCTCCATAGAGATTACTTGACTATACACGCCCAGACACATATTATCTCCTTAATTTTACATCGTGTGTGAAATATGCTTTCCATCAATATATTTTGTATGGTTCAGTATTTTACATAAAAAAATCGGTTTGGAAAATCAATACCAAAAACTAATTAATGTTTTTGGATTAGCCTGTTTTGCAGAGAAATTGTTTTTTACAGTTTTCAAGTGATAAAATGTATCCCTTCTTACAGAGTCATATTGCATTCACTGTCACTATATGAATATTTAAGTATGGTCACAGCTAACACACTTTTTGGACAATAATTATATGTATGTTGTGATTGGCTGTTTTTGAAATAAACATTTTGCCCATTTCTCAATCCAATCCACTCTGATATAAGATATAAGGTTTAATAATGTAGGGAAATTGTAATTGTAAAGTGAATGTTTCCAAAGAAACAAGTTCAGGTATGTCCTTTTTGACTCCCATGTGCGAAGCACAAAATGGGAGTCTTTGCGGTTAGTGTGTCTGTATGTGTGTGTGTGTGTGTGTGTATGTGTGTGTGTATGTGTGTATGTGTGTCCGACTGTTCCACTGCTATCTCAAGAACCATACATCAGTTTTTGATGAAACTTGGTGCATAGATGCTCTGGGCCAATGCGCAGATTTGATTAGGTTTTGGTAAAAATCCATGCTCGTTAATTACCTAATTTGCATGATAATTAGCTAATTTTTAGCTGTTCTATGACTGTTCCACTGATATCTAAAGAACCACTCATTGGATTTTGATGAAACTTGGTACATAGATGCTCTGAACATATGCGCAGATTTGATTAGTTTTTGGTAAAAATCTGTGCATATTAATTACCTAATTTGCATGATAATTAGCTATTTTTTAGTGGTTCCATGACTGTTCCACTGATATCTAAACAACCACTCATTGGATTTTGATGAAACTTGGTACATAGATGCTCTGAACTAATGCTAGGTTTTGATTAGTTTTTGGTAATAATCCGTGGATACTAATTACCTAATTTGCATAATGATTAGTCAATTTTCGGTTTTTCCACTGATATCTCAAGTACTAATCATCACATTCAATGAAA